ACACACACACACACACACACACACACACACACACACGCACCCACTAATGCGAAATGCCCATTTCCCGCACCACCCCCACCCTCGCCATGCCCCCGCCGTCTGAGCAGGAGGTCACAGCAAGTTCATGCTCGTATTACGCTGAGACCCACAACAAAGCAGCGGATCGGAACACTGCCTCCGTGCCCAATTTGTCCAATCGACTTTAAGTGGATATATAACATATTTACCCCACAGAGGCTGAAAACAGAACACTCCGACTCTCAAACGCAAAGATGCAGACAGAAGAGATGCGGCACACACGCCAGAAGGAGCCACAGCCCCTCTATGCTACCGCTATACTCATGCAGATGCCCTTCTCCACTGGAGATATTCAAACATCGATTTTAAGGTATTTGGCCTTAGCTAGACCATCCACTGTACTTCACATGAGGTACTGGACTATCCACTCCACAGTAAAGAAGTATCTCTCCCCATGGCAAGGGAGTATTCTCAGGGGGAGTACCTTTCACCATGGTAACACAGTATTTTTGAGGGGAGTACCTCTCCCCATAGTAAAGCAGTACTCACAAGTAGGCTGGCCTTCATACTGCCCCCACGCCCAGCAGATTAGAGCAGAGTGACGTTTAGGCCTGGCTGCAGACTGGCCTCACCTAAGCAGGATGCGCTTAGGGACAGATTAGCCAAGACTTACATGGAGGGGTAATTCTGTTTTCACACGTCGCTATGACATGCTTTGCCAACGCCGCTGATCTGATCAGGAGGTGTAACGGGACGAGGACGGGGGCACGGCTCAAAAGAAAATGCAGACTCAAATTTACGCCTTCAGGGTCTTATTTGATGAGCCATGTGGGGTCGAAAATGCATGATGCTTGGAAAAAGACAGCCGACGTCACCAAAACAAACGAGACAAAACCATACAGCTGGTCAGAACAACTTAAGAGATAAAGATAACAAAACCAGCCACCTAAATAAAGCAGAACTATTTTAGATACAAAAGATTCTCCTCAGGGATTCTAGACTCAGGGATTTGCAAATTCAATAAAAAATGGCAGCATGCATTTAGACGCCCCAGTGTACGCATTCAGTCGTTGCTGTTGGGGGCTTTAGCGTGGAATCACACCAAAGCTGGCAGGAAGCTCTCGTTGGAGAAACATCTCAATAAAGCCCCCTCAAAAAAAATGAACCCCCCTCCCCAAAACTGTCGGGGAGGACAGGAATGCGGACACAGGTGGAACAGGCAGAAGCAATAAAAAGCCCCCCCACCATACTCAAAAAGCACAGGGAAAGAGTCTTGTACAGTTTTATGAGCAGATTAAGGTCACTTGGTGTGTTTACAGAACAGATCAATGGAGATGAAAGAAAAGGCAGCAAGGCCAATTGAGGTAAGAGAAACCGGCACGCTGGCTGAATATTTAATGCGGCCTGCTGAACAGGAGACAACACAGGCGCGCAGCCGGGCCGCGCAGCCGCGCAATTCATCCCTGCCATTTTATTTCCGGCCCAGGGGACCAAATCCATTACTGGCATTAACTGCCGGCTGGTTATCAGAAGCATAAGCACAAAGTTAAAAGGGGGCCTCTTTTGGGGGGGGGGGGGGGGGTCACCTTGCCGACCCCGGGACCCCAGGGACGGGGGCCCGCGCCCATTACTGAGCGTGAGGACACATTCAATCCGCGACCGGGAGCCTTCCCTGATTCGGGGAAGGGGTTTGCAAACCGCAGCACTTGATGGTGAGCAGTGTATCGAGCGGCCCGGCTCGGGTATCCGCCAATGTGGCGTATTTAAAAAAAAAAAAAAAAAACAATAGATCCCTGCATATGTAAACTAAAAGCTTTATTGACTGACTACACAGAAGCACCTGACTGGGAAACCAGAGCCGGCAAGAGGAAGCAGAACCCCCCCCCCCGCTGACTCGAGCGGCTCAGGGGCGTAAGGTGAGCCGCCGGAGACGCTGCTGATGCGGCTGTGCCCTCGCCCCCCCGCAGGGAGGAGAGATGTCCCTGTGTCGGGTCTCGTCCCTGTGTCGGGTCTCGTCCCCGAGGAGTGCAGAGCCCCTCGGGAGGGCTGGCTGCATGCTGTGTCAGGCCCAACGGTGAACACCCCACAACAGCAGAACAAAACGGGCCCTGGGGCCTCACTCCAGCCAACCTGGGTCGATAAGTTCCCCGAGCACCTTGCTGAAGAACACCAGGACACTTCCTGCAGTCCGGTCCACTTTGCTGCCCAGATCGTACCACCGGGAACATATCAAAGAATGGAGTCGACATACATATGCAGCCGGACAAACCGGGAAATCCTAACAGGCCCTTAAAAACCCAAACGCAAAGAGGCAGCCCAAACGGAAGGACCAGGAACTCCAGACGGTACCATCTCTGTGAAGAGGCTCCTGGAGGAGCCAGGTCACATTCGGTGGGTAAACCGCTAATTACATCACTGCTCGCGGCGGTATCAGTGTCACGCGATAACGGGCGCTGACCGGCGAGCAGATGGAGGCCTCACGCAAACGCCCAGATTTCAGTAACTTCTGTGAAGGACGCTATCTCCAGCACACGATAATTAATAGGTACACTTCTGTAACGGGAAGCTGCAGATGGCCAGGAGAATCCTACACCTTAAGTGGCCGGCGGTAATGAATAGATGGAGAAGACAAGCCCCCAAGGAGACTCGCGGCGGGACAAGTATTAATGTCTCCATTGGCGATGAGCTCATCTTTCCCATTCGGCCTGACAAAAGCCTCTCTCTCTGGGTGTTTCTTTGGATTGCCTCCTTTCCCTTCAAAGGCCGGATATGCCCACGCTTTCGCTTTTACTTCATATCTGCCCAAAACAGCCAACAGCTAATGGTCAACTTGGAGTTTAACGTCCATTTATGGGGGGGCATGTGGTTCTCTGAAAGGAGTTTCTCACACTGTTGCTTAGCGCCGGTGTCCATGGCGAAGGAGCGCTTTCACAGATTACGAGGACCGGTCCCTCAAGCGGCCTGACAGTACGACTCGGCCGCACTTCAATGGTGACGGGGATGGTTGAGGCATGGGAACCAGACAGGAGACACACACACACACACACACACACACACACACACACGCCGTAATATGACAGACACAGTAAAACCCTCAACAGTATGAGGTCACATGGGGGGGGGGGGCTCTTGACCACTCTGAGCCGCATGAATGAGGGTGACGAAGCATGTAAACACGTTTGACGTGGGGGGGGGGGGTAGGGGCAGAGCACTGAACTGATTACTGCTCAGAAATGGGATGCAATGCAATTGCAGTGCTTTGACGACGGTGTCCCACCTGCTGTCCCAACACTGCTCCTGGAAGCTTGGTAACCAGTAAGCATGGGCTGCCCCCATCACCATGTCAGCCACGCGCTCCACACAGCGGCCGGTGCTGTACCCATACGCTCACGCCACCGGCGACGCCACGTCACACACGGAGAAAACCTCAAACATTGGTTCCAAACAATTCGCCATCTTGCATACAGAGATACTCCCTCATTTCGGATCAATGAAGTTTATCGTATCTTATTTGCATTTACAAGACAGATTGTGTCTGCTCTCGCTTCGGAATATGGGATTGTCATTTATTTTATGTTTATTGCTTTTGTATGTGTGCTTTCTCATTTGTTAGTTTTATATTAGCTGATCATGCTTATCATTAGGTAGGTAGATTAGTTTAAATAGGCAATCATTTGGGGGGTCTGGAACGGATTCATTTACATTATTTGTGGAAATTCCACTTGGACCTTGAGCAAATCACAACTGAACCAGCCTTCTGGAAAAAAATTAAGTTTGTGTTCCAAGGTACCACAGTATTATGAGAGAGAGAGAGAGAGAGAGAGAGAGAGAGAGACACAGACAGACAGACAGACAGACACCGGAGTGAACGGTTACACACCCACTCCGTAGAAACGTGCTAGACCATAGGGTCGCAGGCAGCTGGAGTGGAACAAGGGGTGAGCAGGTCCGTTAAGCATCATGCTGATACCTCAGCCCTCAGAACCAGCTCCTGTGCAGACTGTCAACCAGTAAGGACGCACATGTAGCGAGCTCAGGAGGAGCACGAGCAGGAAACAGCCAAGCGAAACCTGCAGGGCCTGTATTCTGTATTCACCATTTGGGACTGGTCTCTGTTTTCCTTTTTTTAATGACCTACATGAGCGCTTCATGGCCAGGCAGCGCATCGATCCGCTCAGGAAAAGTGTTGACAAAAGGGGGACGCACGCATCGAGCCCAAGTACATACAGCTTCAACAGCGCGCAACTCGACACCGTCTTCCGGGGCAGAATTTCATCCCAGCACGCTGACGACCCCAAACTCGCTCCTGTGGACTCATCCGTTTCAGATTCTACAGGGCACCTGAGGTTCCAGTCCGTTTGCCCGCCGGCTCGCAGTGGAAGCCGGACTAACGGATGTCAGAAGGCCACAGTCGATTCCCGTCGGCCAGCTTCCGGGAAAATGCGCGCTGAGGGTGGTATGCAGTCGTCTGGTTTCATTGAAGACATGTTGAAACCTGCATGTGTCTCTTTAGTGCTGTTGCCACAGTAACCAGAATTAGGCCTGATTTTCCCTGTCTGTGAGTTGTGTCATCAATGGCAGGGTCACGGTTTGCAGTAAAGTATGATAAATAAAAATGTAATGTGCTTCAGGATAAAGTTACTATCCATCCATCCATCCATCCATCCATCCATCCATCCATCCATGAAATGCCACTGCGCTCAGAAAATGCCTACATTGCAATACTTCTTCAAATGTTTTCTTGCTGCAGTTTCAGAACAGTTCCACAAGGGGAACACATATTGCACTAATGAGTGTGGTGTTCATCGGCCATCAGATGGGATAACGGCAGGACAATAGCAGCTTTAACGCTATAAGAGCACAGGGCCCTTAAGTACACAGGAGCAAGGGTTCGAGAGCGGATTCAGGAGCGGAGTCATGCAGCCACCTCACGTGCATGTTGAACAAATGCAGGGATGCCATTTCAGGAGCAGTCATAGATGCATGTTTTTGTAGACCAGACGGCTTACAGAACAAATCAGCAACGATTGCAAGAAAGTGGCTGCTCTGTGGCTCCCCTAGTGGACAACAGCACAAGTCAGGGCTCAAAGAAAATATAAGGTGACATAATCGTACTGCATTCAAGAAATCTGAAGGAGAAGAGCGTCAAAAGATGGTAAAAAGCAAAATGCGGCGACATGTGTATGGCGTCGTGTCACGGGGAGCGCAGTGCTGCGGATTTATCCCTGCCGGTTCTGAGAAGCGCCAGACTCGCTTGGCAGGATTGTTTGTTTGTGGTGATTATTGACTTGGGTATTCTGTTCTCTATGCGGCACTGAGACTCAATACAGGGACGTCGTCCTTCTTCCTGCCAGGCACGAGGGGGGGGGGGGGGGGGGGGGTGCTGCAGTCTACTTTACAGCGAGCTGCATATCCAAAATTACAGTCGTCTCTCAGAGCAGCCGGACGACTGTCAAAAGTGACAGTGGCCTAAATCATACACCAAGTTACAGCACAAAGTTTAGGGCCTGATTAAAAACTGACAAAACTGCCCTTTGAAGGAGCCCCAGTTTGTCTGTTTCGGCTGCCGTTAACCAGCCACGTGTCATTACTGCAGACAACGAGCAGGTGACTCACCCATGCTGTTGGAGGAGTTGCACCAGGTGAGTAGACAGGTGACACAGACCACGTTGAGGGCCCCGAACAGCAGGATTCGCCAGGACTGCAAAGGAACGGCAGCAACACGGCCTTACTTAAACTGCTGGAACATTCCAGAAAAAAAATACACAGTCCTGGTAGGGAGCAAGAACATGGACTGTCTGCAGTCCCCGAGGACTAGATTGGGAAACACTGATCTAGAAAGTTCAGTTCCCTGACCATATGCTCATAGCCAGGGAAGCACTTCGAAGTGTAATATACACAAATAGAGGAGGTATGAGTAGAGTCACACTGGAATTATTTACTTTTTTGCATGTCACATCTTGCTGTATATAACTTTAAATATACGCATGTCCTTAAATATATTTAAATTTATTTACATCACTCAAGTGTCGTCAGCTTACACATTAATAAAGGCGAGAACATTTCATAAAGCTTTCATCTTACAGCTGGAAGCCCGACATGCTTATTTAACAACAGCAGTCTGACGCTCCTTCAAATATCTGATTCATGCCCTCAGATGCTGAGCTAATTCAGATGTTTGGATGAGGTAATGTCACCCTGACCTTCACCCCCCACCGCGTCGATCTGAAGTCCAAATTGGAAAGGCGCGTACACTGCCACCACCTTGCATATCACCCCTCGGAATATACGATTACTGCGGTAAGCATTATTATGACAGGGGCTGCGGCGGGCTGTCGCATGTGGGGAGGGGGGGGCACGTGCAGGCCAGCGGTGGGGTGCACGCCTCGCAGTGTCGCATGACCTTGTATGCGACGTGCTGGTGCCTGTCGATTCCCATCCGATGGAGAAGCTTGGGAAGACTGGAGTGCAGGTCAACAGCCCACGGCCCTGGGCGCTCAAAACAGCTAAGGACTCCCAAACAGGCCCCCCCGAGGACATTTATCCACCTGCCTCTGCCCCTACTTGGATGTGAGAAATACCCTCAGAGTGACAGGCACTAAAACAGGGGGGGGGGGGCGGCAGCATCACTGGGGATCCCACCAGAGTCACTGCCGGCACATGGAGTATCTGGTGGATTGCACACCGCCCCAGAACTGGGCCCAGTACCGATCCAGAATTCTGATCACCACTAACTGTCACTGGGGATAGAAACACTTGCCCATTTTAAGGAAAATGCCTTCAGAAATATCTATGGAGGTGTGTGTATGTGTGGGGGGGCGTTTAAACCAATTAACAAAATTGTCAATTTAAGAACATCCCATATGGGGAAGTCTAACTCTTACCAATTAGTAGCAACCTGGGAGCAAATGAACCTGTACGCACACGCAATACCATCATGCCCCACTGGGGGTGCTGGAGAGTGCCAGTCCTCAGCAGGGTAACGGTGCATTTTAAGGGTGACTCACCCGTCTGTCTGCAGCCACCAAGCAAAACTCTTGAGCAAACTTGCCGATGAAGGATCTGTGGGTCTTCCGGAAAGGATGGATGGTTCCCTGCATAAGCACAAACACACAAAGTACAGAATCGCATCTCAACAGAAGCTGTGAGCAAAATTTCACCTTTTCCCTCACAACCTCCTTTTAGAGCTAATTCTACCATAAATAGTATCAGTTCTGAGGTTTCCAGTTCATGAAACAAGAGCATTGAGGTGTGCACTTTCAGTTTACAGAACATACTGTCAATTTGTAATTTCAGAAGCATCTTATATCCAGGGATGCTATAAGAGCAGCATTTTGTTGTACACTTTGTTTTTTACATTGCGCAACTCTGCCATCTAGTGTTTATCCAGACACATGCACACAAATACTCAAGAGGTACAACTTATGAAAGAAATCTATCCATTGTCCAGATGCTTGGATCAGGTTGCAGTGGGACATGGAGTATATCCCAGGACACAAGGACAGTAAACATCCTGCCAGTCCATTGCAGGACTCACACTCACATACACACAACCATACATTATGGACAATTTAGACACCAAGTAACCTAACCGAACGTCTTTCACCTGTAGGAGAAAACTGGAATAGCTGGAGGACACCATCGTAGCTTGCGAACACAGAGGGCACTTATTTTAATCCCAGTATTGAACGATACATTTAATGCATGAAGGAATCTGAACCACACAGGAGTCAGTGTCGATATGAAAACACAGGAAGCTGCTTGTATGCTGACAACCCCGAACTCCACTAGAGTGATGTTCACGTACCAAAACATACGTGTCAGTTTCCCGCTTCTTCCGATGCACTGGAAGATCTGGAAAAGAGGAATGACAGCTACGGCTCAAAAGGTACGGGAGTGTCCCTGCATTATGGCCTGTGTTTCCGGGGACAGGCGCTGGACGGGATATGCAGCTCGGGCAAATGGACAGCGCCCGCTGTCTGCCAATTTAGACAGTTTACCTTTTTAAATGAAGAGAAAAACACGTTTCACCGTAAGGTCATTTTAAAAAGAGCAGCTACAGCCAGCTCACTTCCCACGAGAGATTTGACTATAAAACCTAAAAATAACTGACGTGGTAACGTGATCGCACTTTTCCATGCAGGCCCACGGTTTCACTACAGCTGCAGATATGACCATTATTTAAAATTCTGTCTCAAACAGCAATTATTCTGGGGGGGAAAAACCGGTCAGTAGTCAGTATAGTGTCAAAAATCAGAAAAAACAAATGACTCGCAAACACTTTGTTACTTTTGGGGAAACGATGTAGGAAAGTTTACTCCAGGCAAACGGACTAGTAAAAGATTCTTTATAGCTATTCAGTTTTCAAAAGGTTTAAATATGTTGCTTTCACTTCTAATTGTATGGCATAGAAACAGGCTTTTAATCGGGATATAAAAATAAAAAAAGTTTATTTCACTAGTTGAGCTGAGATGACGCTGTCGCGGCAGGGCGCACTAAAATCTGAAAAAAGAAACGGCAAAGAAATGTGGGTTTGTGGGGAAGGGGGCACCCTCCCGGCGGCTAGCTGGCTAAACGGCTAATCATCTGCTCGGGCTCAAGCAGAGCATCACAGCCGCCCTACCTGGCTCCTTGATGTTGATAACGTCCACGGCCACCATGTCAGGCTTATCCGAAGGGCTGACTTTTCTTTCCGTTACCCCGGAAGGGACAACGTCGGGTTTGGGGCCGAGTTTTCTGGGGTAATAATCCCCAACATTATGGTAAGCCAGACCTAGTGGAGACGTGGACGAACCTTCCACCGCCATTTTAGACGTCCTATAAAACAAACGCGAAAAAACATGCGACGGCGAGCCGTTAGGGCCAAAATGTTTGCGCGAGAAATGCGAATCTGTAAATGATAGGAGAAAGTTTGGTTTTTCATGGAGATGGAGACTATTATTGTAGTGGTGACAAATAAACTAAATAATACAGTCTCACTTTATTTTACTATGTTTATATGAAAGAGTTAAATCCATCCATCTTCCAACTGCTTTTTGGGATCAATGCGTTGCTTATCTTGGCATTGCCTAGACTCGTTTTACTTGTCGTACAGAAAACTGCAAGTCATGTTAACACGTACAGCTTTTAAAATGAATGTTGCAAATAAATGTTGAACCGCTCAGGTGGAGCACCCAAGCTGATATGAATTATCACGTGATATTGACTCGCCGAGAACGTAAATTGAGGTGGCACGTGAGTTTCGCATTGTTTGGTTGCGTGCGAGAATGAATGAAGTGAATCGCTGTGGACATTGTCACGTAACGCTTTTAAAAATCTAGGTGTGAGGGCAACTGTAATGACAAGCAAATATGCGATCAGTTCACGATTAGTTTCAACCTGGTGGTATTTCCAGGTCATGAAACATGAGCGCCACCAGATTGTAACTGATCACGAACTGATCGCATGTATGCTGGATCGGGGGTCTTGGTCATTTAAATATGAAATCAAAGATATTCATGTTCTGGTACAGTATGCAAATATTTTAAAATAAAACGAATATACAACGCCAAATTGATCATTTCAATTTCAATAAAAAGTGGTATTTAATATACCACTTTTTTCTGCATATGACAGTCTGAAAGTGCAAGTCTATAGAATTAGAATTAAGTGATCAGTAGTCATTGTCAACACACCACAGCACACAGTGCGCAACAATGAAATGTGACCTCTGCATTTGACCCATGTGTGACTTTCGTGACATACAGTAGCAGGGGCAGCTAATTCAGCGCCCGGGGAGCAGTGCTTGGGGACAGTACCTTGCTCAGGGTACCTCAGTGGTGACTTGCTGGTGGGGGATTTGAACCTGCAATCTTTCAATTACAAGTGCGCTACCCTAACCATCAAGCCACCACTGCATCATTGTATTACTGCACTATTGTTAAAATAAATGGTAAACCAATCAAATTCCAAGAACAATCTGCCACGTGATAACAGCAGAGGTAGAATGTATGGAAGCCGAAAGCTTATAAACTGTGCAGAAAATGCGCAATTAAAACTTATGTCAACCCATAAACATCCATCCATTTCCCATACGATCTTATCATGAAAAAAGGGAAAAAATGTACCTTCGCTTGTCACTGGGGCTGTACCCTTGTAATTGTACCTTTTAAGGTACATAAATGGACTCTGAGGAACAACATCATTACAAACATTATTAATGTACCATCAATGGTACACAAATGTTCCTCAGAGTTCATTTATGTACCTTAAAAGGTACAATTACCTACAGCTAAGTGTTCCATTGGCAGACCCTTGAGGGTATACAACCCCAGTGAGAAGCAGAGGTATAATTTTTCCCCCTTTTTTTTCTGTGTCATACAAGAAAACTGCAAGTCATGCCAAAACAGCTTTTCAAATCCCTAACCCTAATCCTAGAAGAGGTGCTTTGTGCCTAAATAGCTGCAACCCATGAATGTAGTATGTTTGATTCTGTCAGTCCCTCACTTTTCTTGGTAAGGATCATACTGAAAATATAATTAGTGAATAGATATAGTTTACCTGCAGTTTTGAAATGCGGGAATATTTTGGTACACTCAGGAAAATTGATATATAAGCAACCCCAAAAACTACATCAAAAGCGTTGGGGCTGTTTGCAAACCATACAGACTATTTACAAAGTAATAAAACTCTTACATACACGTAAATGTGTGTGCAGACTTGTCTCGAATTGAAAATCTCAGCCCAGCCAGCTGACCAAAATTGGCAACCCCGATTTTTACTCCTTGTTGTATAATTACAAATTCAGAAGGTGAATATTTTCTGACAGTATCATAAAGACGCTTCACCGTACTGAATGTTTGGTTTGGCTTAATAATGAATGGAAACCCAGATACGCTTCAGCGTTGCAATATTAACCCTTAGATGTCGTTGCGGTCGCTGCGCCCTGCTTTCGGCTTTGTAGTGAGAGGGATGGACTGTAAATACTTTCAGGTGGCATCGTCTTATTCAGCATGGCTTTTTTCTCTCTGTGGACTTCAGGGCAGCGCAGAATAGCACAGCATGTCAGATATCACAGGAGCGACGTGAGGAATGCTGTCTCACGGCGCTGGTTATGCAACACCTGGACGGGTAACACAGAGGACAAAGTTTTGGCTCGATGCACAGTTAGATATACACACTTCTGTGTTTCCTGGGGGAAGAGTATTGGCTTTCGGATTTGGAAAACATCAGCAACAGTTCCGAAACGTCCAAGATCGTGTGGAGACGTGAGAGTTAAAATAAAATAAAGGTACAGGAATGAGGACGTTCATTCTGACTGGCCAGCACCTCCTTGACTAGAAGTCCCAAAGTTCAGCCTATTCTTATTCATGGCACTTTTCCGAAGCAGCAGAAGCCCCCCTCCCCCTCGTCTGCTCAGCAATTCAAATGTCGCCCCCCCCCCCCTGCAAACTCCCACCCACCAGCACTACTGGAGGGCAGGCAGCCGAAACGGGCGGGCGGACGTTCGTGTCAGTTTCCAACAGAGACGGGCAAACCAGACCTTCTATGCAGTAGGACAGGAACCAGGAAACTCCAAGTTCTCACGCAAGCTTTCTGTGGAGGGGGCGGGGTTTTACTCTATAGACACACACTCTCACAAAGTACAAAATGCAGCACTCCAGCTGCAGAAGCAGACTTCGGCCCTGCGCTCCGACCAGAAGGCTTCTGACTACTCCAGAACGTCAACATGAGCGGCCAGCTTCGTTTAGATGCCAGTCTGGAAAAAGGTCATGCAATGAAGAATGAGGACAAGGTCTTCAGGTACAATGGGATTCTGTACCCTACCATCATGAGCCCAGAGGAGAACTTGAAGGCCATGGTGAATGTGGAAGCCCGACCTGATGACGTCATGCTGGTTGCCTACCCAAAATGTGGTAAGCGCAGCTTAATATTAAAAATTACTGCTGTGGCAATTTAAGAGGCTCACATAGGATATTTTCACTTCACATATATAGTGGCAGGATTCAAATATGATTTCAGTCTAAGTCTTAATAATATGAAATTATGAGAAACTTTCATCAATGCCTGTAAGTGACTATGAAGTCGATGAAGCAGAGACATTTTGCTGGTAGGGTAGCCTTCCCTACACCATACGTCACGCTTATGTAAATTTGCCATTTTTTCCCTCGTGGACATTGTACCATAAATCTATAATAAACAACAGATGTTACATAATTATTGAATTGCCGACGAGTAACCACGAGCTAAATAGATCTTTTGTCTCCCAGTGAAAATGAGTAATGGGACTGAAGCGACAGAGACACTGGGGGCCAGCATTCCAGTGCCACATTTTCGTGGGGTCTCTTTGAAGAATCGGGGGGGGGAGGTGGAGCCCCATGGGACCCTTGGATAACTATCTCTGGATTTTCTATACTACACCCCTCTCGTCTCGGTTTTATGAAAACAAAAGCTCTCCTCAGCCCGTATAAAAAATAGTTCCTTTTTCCCCAGGATTCAACTGGATGTTTGGGGTTGTGAAGAAGATCGTAGCTGCTGTCAAAGGAACGGAGAGTGAGATGAAGATGCTGCCGTTGATTGAGTTTCTCGACCCAGTTAAGCAACAGGTACGAAGCCCTGTAACCTTACCATGAACCTGAGGGACGTAATGAAGGTATGTTTGTGAGGCCTTATTGCATGTATAACTGCCTTTCACTGGCCCAGGGGAATCCTGGATTGATAAACATGTCATTGAATGACTGTTGAGGCAGCTGATAAGGTTGTTAGTTTGAATGTGGGCAGAACTGTTGAGAAAATTAGTTTTAGGAAGGATAACAGAGATGCGGCCTGAATAACTGGAATCTTGACAAGAGTCTCATACGTGCATGAAAGGAAGATGCATCACCTCATGTTCTCTACTGCTCACCTGGACTGAGAGGATATGCTGTGTCCAGACATTCGGCTCACCTCACGCTAGAGGCTGACCGGAGGCCCGTTCTTCATGTTCAGCAAAGCTGGACCCTGCAGACCAGTGCTGTCATGTCCCAGCAAACACTATTTCCTTTGTTTTGCCCTCAACAACCATTCTGTGTTACAAGAGCCCACAATGCACCCTGGGTGCTTTAAAAATGTCATATGTTTTACTCTGTCCACATTGTAGCAGTCCGCACTGAATGATTTTTGAGTGGCGGTGATTTTGGGTGTCACCATAGCAACGTTGGAGAAATCCCAGAGGAGCCTTGTTGTGTCAGACCTGTAGCGTCGCACCCCCCTCACAGCACCGTACTCTGTTTGAGAGCATTAAATCATTTTGCCATGTGTATTATATGGCTCTAACTCCCCAACATGTGACCCTCAGAAGTGTGTCGTAAGGCCAATTTGCTATGGCAACTGGGTGCAGGTCATGTGACATTCCCTGACTTGTTTGCTCTGCAGATGCTGGCTGACTTACCATCTCCCAGAGTCCTGGGGACACACATGCACCTCCAGAACATTCCCCCTTCTTTTTTTGCCAAGAAAACCAAGGTTAGTAATCACTACACACGCGTATTAATCCTGCCCTTCCACAGGCCAAGCTGACTTCCTTTGTGCAGAGAATACGGTTTTGATTTCCACGTTACATAACAGACCTCGCATTTTCTGAAACGACAGAGACTGCGGTGAAAGACCTTCCAGGCAAAAAAAAGTGGCTGTAGAAGATCGGAAATGTTGCAAGTTTAAAGGCCAGGAGGGGAGTGCCACTCCCCCCCCCCCACACACACACATACAAACAAGTCACAGTACGTGTCAAGCTCATCTGTTACAGGCTAGTGTAGTATAGGCTAGTGTAGTATAGGCTAGTGTAGTATAGGCTAGTATAGTATAGGCTAGTGTAGTATAGTATAGGCTAGTGTAGTATAGGCTAGTATTCTAACATTAATGGGTTTTTTTGAAACTTTAAGCAGCTAGTTAAATGTGGCCATGTGTAAGTTCTTAGCCAATATTCAGTTTATTTAAATTTAGTTTATTTTAATAAAGCGTCTTTCACAACAGTGTCGCCCCATGGCACTTTACACAAGTAAACAAGGAAAAGGGAAGACAATGAATTCAATGAAAGAAAGACAGATGACACAGAGGAGAGGAATCAAAAACTCCCTAGTAGGGGGAAAAAACCTCTGGGGGTCCAAGCAGGGGCCTTTCTAGGATTTTCATTTAAGGGGGGGCTCAGCCCCCATAGACGTTTGACACATATTTGGCTTGTTCAGAATCAGTA